TCTACAAGACCCTTATGTCTCCAACATCCTACATCACGGATATCGAATCCAACTACAGGCCACGCTTCTGTTTACAGTCAACCCTCACAAGTTCGACTTTCAGGCGCAACAACTACCAAAGTTACGAGAAGCTGTTGCATCGCTACTAACCAAGCAGGCCATAGAAGTACTGGATCAAGTAAACATCGAACCAGGCTTCTACTCCCCAGTTTTCCTAGTGCCCAAGAAGAACTCTAAGGAAAAGTTCAGACTCATCTACAACATGAGCACGTTCAACAGAGATTATCTACGCAAACCGCTAACGTTTCACATGATACATCTACCTCAACTCCGGCACCTAGTTCGTCCCATGGACTACATGGCCAGTATAGACCTGCAGGATGCGTATCTACATATCCCCATACATCCTGAATCCAGGAAATACCTACGGTTTACACTAGACGGGCTGCATTATCAATGGAGAGTACTCCCATTTGGAATATCATCGGCCCCCTGGTTATTCACAAGAGTAACGAAACCCATCATCACTTACCTACATCATCTAGGGCTACGCTGTGCGTTCTACCTCGAAGACGGGATTCAAGTAGATCAAGATCCACAGCGTCTCAAACTACAGTTAAACTTCATCATCAAGCTACTAACATAGCTAGGATGGTTAGTAAATCTACTCAAGTCGGACCTAGAACCTACGCAAGATCTGCAATTTCTTGGCATTCGATTTATCACGACACAGACCCGTATCGTCGTACCAGAGGACCGATGGCTCAAGATCCAACAGACCATCCCACAAGCCTTACTCTCTCCGCTACCACTACGACAATGGCAGAGTCTGTTGGGTCTCCTCACGTCAGCCCAAGACATGACAGTCAGAGGCAGACTACAGTTACGTCCGTTACAGGTCCTCATCAACGCTCATCTCGACGACCTACAACCATTCAGTCTACCGAAGCACATCAGACCTCATCTACTATGGTGGACCAGGAGGTCGAATGTCTGTGAAGGCATCTATTTAACAGAGCCGGAATTCAAAACCCATCTCTATGTAGACGCGTCGCTCTTAGGTTGGGGAGCTCATCTCGCCAACCGGACGGCATCAGGGTTATGGAACCAGCAAGAGAGCAAGCTGCACATAAACATGCTAGAAATGAAAGCAGTAATCAACGCCCTACTACATTGGAGCACTATTCTACAGAATGCGCATCTGATGATTCAAACCGACAACTCAACAGTGGCGTTTTATGTAAACAAACAAGGCTCAACGAGATCATTGAACCTATTGACTCTATGCTTTCAACTGTTCGATCTAATCGACGATCTCAACATACATGTCAGAGCATGCCTCATTCCGGGAGCCAAGAATGTACTAGCAGACGTACTCTTTCGGCCACATCTACCGTCACCGACAGAATGGATGCTTCATACAGAAATCTTTGCACAGATTATCAAGGAAATAGGAGCTCCGCTAGTAGACCTATTCGCCACTCGCTTCAACAATCAGCTAACAACATTCGTATCACCAGTCCCGGATCCACAAGCGTGGGCAACAGACGCACTTAGCATATCCTGGGAAGGCCTCAACGTGTACGCATTTCCGCCACCAGTGCTAATTCCACAGGTATTACAGAAAATCAGACAAATGCAGAGCCTCCAACTGATTTTGGTCGTGCTCTACTGGCCAGCGAGAACGTGGTTTCCCATTCTAATTCAAGAAATCGGACAACCAACACTAGAGATACCAAAGCGCTCGAATCTACTAATACATCCTCACACCAAACAAGCACACGGAAACCCAGAAGCATTCTAACTTCACGTATGGACTGTATTAAAGTGTGTCTAAACAAGAGAGGTTATTCAGCCAGAGCGGCGAAAGCAGTCACGCTTGCTTTACGCAATTCTACGCGCAACTTGTATGACGACAAGTGGCACAGTTTTGAAACATACGCTACTAAAAAGGGATTTACAGTGAGAAATGCTACACATCCACAAGTGGCTGACTATCTGTGTTACCTACGACAAAATAAACATTGAAAAGGCTCGACATTGTCAACATATCTCGCAGCTCTAAGTTCTGTGATAACTATGAGAACTGGTGTCAAGCTAAGGAAAACGCCAGAGTTACTGGCCTTACTACGTTCATTCTGATTGGAGGATCAGAAACAGAGATTTCGCGCTCCAGCATGGGATCTCACAAGTGAGGCCTATGAACCACTGGAATCAACAACCTTTGAATTTCTGTCACAGAAAACATTGTTCCTGTTATCCCTAGCAACGGCTGCCAGGATGTCAGAAATTCACGCTCTAGATTATGAGAGAATACGTTTTGACGACAATCAAAACATAGTGCATATGGGACTGCGATGGGATTTTATCGCCAAGAATCAATTGCCAGGTCAACCAGACAGATTATTCCATGTTCCTGCACTCTCCTCGATTCTCGGACCTCAAGATACGCTTGACCTATCTCTATGTCCAGTCAGAGCACTCAAAATCTATCTACAACAATCCAAAACGAGGCGACGACAACTCAAGCGGTTATTCATCCCTCTATCGACAGCGACTCAGACTGAAGTCTCTCGTACCACCATATCGATATGGATCAGAACTGTCATTGTTTGTGCCTACAAGGCTGCAGGACTCGACCCTCCAAGAGCATCTAATCCCCATGAAATCAGAGCACTGGCTTCCACACTCGCTCTACACGGAAATTGCTCGTTGAATACCATTATGGAGGGATGCTTTTGGAAATCCGACATGGTGTTTGCTAACCACTATCTGAGAGATATCACCACTGAGGACGTCTCAGGTATTCACCATTTCGGTCCCATGGTCCTCGCACAGCAGTTGACAGTCCCTCGTAGACGATGATTAGTCTCACGAGATTATTATGTATATATCATACCAGTATCATCTAGCTTATAACTCTACGGAGTTTTGTGCTATTGTATACATATCTTAAGTCTATAGTAGTCTTAAGCCCAGTACTGATGTTTTATGTACGTTGGGTCGCTTCTCCACTTTGGAGTCGCGTTATACCATTATTACTATTTTTTCATAGTATCTATATATTGTAGTACCCCTCATCTATGGCAGCTAGTAGAACTTATGTTTTATAGCAGGAATTAGCTTAATTACAGTGCCATTATGAAGTTCCCGTAGGGGGTTATTACTTATACAGAAATCACTAATTATTTAAATCCAAAGTATTCTGTTTTCCCACCTCCGTTTCCGTAGGATTCTACAAGCAAAAGAGCATGAGTCAGGATAAGGAAAAATATGTAATTTTCTGAATAAAATTGATATTTTATACTTATCCTCACTCATGAGGTAAGCCCTCCCATCCTCCCCACATAACACTTTGGATTTCCCTGTAAATTCAAGTGTTGGGCTCGCTATATCAGGAGAGAGTGAAGCATGAGAGAAGAGGTGGCGCCTCCTTTCCCGCGCATTTGGAAGAGGGAGGCAACTCTTGGTGAGTACTAATTAGTGATTTTACATTGAAGGGAGCTTCAATTAGGGAGATACAAGTGTTCCACTATGTTCGCAAGAAGAAGAAGACAAACAAAAGAGTGTGAGTCAGGATAAGTATAAAACATCAATTTTATTCAGAAAATTACATTTTTTGACATTTCCATGGCAACAAGTTTTCCTTTGACTGAAATTGGTGGTAGTGCTCCTTTCCAGAGCAGAACTTAAAAACTGTTCAATACTCTCCTTCCACTTTATGGGTATCCAAGAACCTAATGACATTGACCAATACCACTCTATTCCCAATATCAACATTACTGAGGTACATCAAACTGTACATTTGACATTGTTATCCCACCGGCATGTAATGCAGTGGGATATAGTCGTCGCCTCGTCCGTCTGTCCGTCCGTCCGTAATCATTTTGTTTCCGGAGCATAACTCAAAGACCGTTCCATATTTTTCAACAAAAATTGGTAGATATGTCAAACATAACCTAAGGTGGTGCCTTTTGCTATTTACAGATTATTGTCATTCTTATTTTTCTCGGTTTCCATGGAAACGTTTTGGACTTAGTCTTAAAGAAGGGTGGGCTTCGTTTCCCGGAGCATAACTCAAGAACCGTTCAATATTTTTCAACAAAACTTGGTAGATGTATGAAACAGAACCTTAAGTGGTGCCTTTTGCTATTTACAGATTTTGGTCATTTTTATTTTTCTCGGTTTCCATGGAACTATTTTGGACTTAGTCTCAAAAAGCAAGGATTGCTTTCGTTTCCGGAGCACAACTCAAAAACCGTATAATATTTTTCAACAAAACTGGGTAGATATATCAAACACATCCTAAAGTTGTGCCTTTTGCTATTTGCCGATTTTTGGCATTTTTATTTTTCCCGGTTTCCATGGAAACTATTCGGACATAGTCCCAAAAGTGAGGGGTGGGCTTCGTTTTCGGAGCACAACTGGAAAACTTCTTAATATCTTTCAGCAAAACTTGGCAGATATGTGAGGCAGATCCCAAAGTGGTGCCTTTTGCTATTTGGCAGAATTTTGGCATATTTATTTTTCCTGATTTTCATGGAATTGATTCGGTCTTAATCCCAAAAGGGAGGGTGGGTTTCGTTTCCGGAGCACAACTCGAAAACTTCTTAATATCTTTCAGCAAAACTTGGCAGATATGTGAGTCAGATCTTGAAGTGGTGCCTTTTGCTATTTGCAGATTTTTGTCATTTATTTTTTTCATGATTTCCATGGAAACGATTTGCACTTAGTCTAAAATCAAGCTGGACTTGAAGTAACTGTCAGATGATTTGTTCTTTCAAAGATGTGGGGGCCGGGGGGATATGTCATCTTCTGATGACTCTTGTTATAAAAAGTTGACATATTCAAGAAGAGTGTTTTACTATTGCAGGAGATATTGATGACTTTGTCTCCTTAGTTACTACTCAAAACCAACAAGGAAAATGTAGGAAAACTTTTTGTATTGGGGAATAGTCACAATTAACAGGTTAATTTGTCTCTATTTCAATGTATTTCAGATCCTAACAGTCAAGTTAATGGTAGATGCTGGCAGCTCATGTGTGTGGCAGCTGGGGTGATGGCACCGGCAAATACAAGAGTGCTGAAATACTTGCAGGTGCATCTTAAGAAGTGTTCTCTTGACACCACGACAGAAGAAGGCAAATTTGCAAGATTCTGCTTTAAGGTTTGAGTCCATTTTGATTATATTTTCTACAAAAAGGAGGAGGTTTATCTCTTTATTGCTGCATAGTACTGTACACCATTGTCCATCTTTCATGTCTCTTTTGCACAGCTCATATGGCTATCATCATAACCATGCTGTGGGTAACATTAGTTCATGTGGACAGTTAATTTACATGGACTAGGGATCCTCTGTACAAAGCTATCATCCTGTATACTGTTTTATTGTACCCTGTACATTCAGTCTACTGTTAACCCCTGTGGAGACCTATGGTAGAATGTGTCCCCCCCAGCACCCCATTGCTTGTTATCCCCTGCCACGCCTTTAGCGCTAAGCAAAGGATATAGTATTAGGCTCCATCCGAACGTATGTCCCGAAAGTACGTACGAACGTACATATGTACGAATTGGAATATCTTAAGAACTGTTGACTAGATTCTTTTCATATCTGGTAACTAGGTTCATCACAATATGAAAAAGGTCCCAGTCAGGTTTGGTGACCTTGACCTTCATTTCAAAGTCACAAGGGGATTTAAATGTTTTATCCTTGTTAGTGATATATCTCAAGAAATGTTCTCTGGATTTTCTTCATGTTCGACATCAAGCTTTATCTAGGGAAGTCGCAGGGCCCAGTCGATTTTGGTGACCTTCACTTAATTTTCAAGGTCACGGCAACCCTTCAAAGATTTCAGCATGTTAACTTTCATGTTAAGCTTGTCAGCGAGATATCTCAAGAACCGTTCACAGGATTTTCTTCATATTTGACACCAAGCTTCATCTAGGAAAGGCTATGGCCCAATCAAGGTCACGGCGACACTTTGAAGATTTCAGCATGTTAAATTGCATGTTAAGATTGTCAGCAAGATATCTCAAGAACGGTTCACTGGATTTTCTTCATAGATTTTCAAGGCTTCTCAAGCAATTTCTTTATTACTATTTTGCATATTTCATACACCATGACATTCATATCAAGGTCAAAGTGAGTTTTGAAAATATTTGCGTGTTTGAACAACTACAGAGCAAGATATCAAGAGAGGTTGACTGGTCATGTTTTTGTTGACATTTAACTTCATCTTAAACTACGACCTTCACTTTCATTACTTTTTAAGTTTGATTTGATGATTTGCGGCGGAGGATTATGTCACCTTAGTGACAATGCTTGTTATAAGAGACAACTAAATTGGACAACCTGTTTGGCATTGGTTCCATCACTGTGTCAGTAAAGGAAGATAGCCTGGTAGTTGATTGCACTGATCCCAGGAGCATGGTTTCTTTGCACAGCATACTTCTTTGACCTTGACCTTGACAGATGGTAGATCCTATCAATCTGCTGGTCAAGCCCTGAGAACTTATGCTTTAATTGCTGTATCACTTTTGGCCTGGCTTTTTGAGTGCTTGTTGAATTGATTATAGTTATATCGATATACATGGATTCACACTTTACTTTTTAAAGCTCAAACATTGGCTTGATGGGCTCATATGCCAAATTGCTGGAATCTTCTGCTAGTGTATATAAACTCTATATCCCTTGTGCCTGTCTGTCAGATATCCACAGACATTATGAATCTGCCAGTGCAGGCACTCAGTGGCAGGTGGAATGATGAAATTCTACCACTAACAAAGGATTGCAAGCAACCCCTAAAACGTAACATGTTATATTCTGTATTACACTTGATCAGTAAAGTACAGATTCTAATACTTTTGTTGGGTTGAGTCCCATCCGGGATTTGAACTCATACTGTCAGAGTCATATAAGATCATAAGACATAGGTCAACATGGACACAAGGAGGGATTTGATAATAGCTATCTTGCCCAGAGAGGTTATTACTCTTTTCATCCATTTATTTCTAATTTGTTATCCCACCGGCATATAATGCGGTGGGATATAGTCGTCGCCTCGTCAGTCCGTCTGTCCGTCCGTCCGTCCGTAATCATTTTGTTTCCGGACCATAACTCAAAGACCGTTCGATATTTTTTAACCAAAATTGGTAGATATGTCAAAAATAACCTAAGGTGGTGCCTTTTGCTATTTACAGATAATTGTCATTTTTATTTTTCTCGGTTTCCATGGAAACGTTTTGGACTTAGTCTTAAAGAAGGGTGGGCTTCGTTTCCGGAGCATAACTCAAGAACCGTTCAATATTTTTCAACAAAACTTGGTAGATATATCAAACAGATCCTAAAGTGGTGCCATTTACAGATAATTGTCATTTTTATTTTTCTCGGTTTCCATGGAAACGTTTTGGACTTAGTCTTAAAGAAGGGTGGGCTTCGTTTCCGGAGCATAACTCAAGAACCGTTCAATATTTTTCAACAAAACTTGGTAGATATATCAAACAGATCCTAAAGTGGTGCCTTTTGCATTTCACAGATTTTTGGCATTTTTATTTTTCCCGGTTTCCATGGAAACGATTCGGACTTAGTCCCAAAAGTGAGGAGTGGGCTTCGTTTCCGGAGCATAACTCAAGAACCGTTCAATATTTTTCAACAAAACTTGGTAGATGTATGAAACAGATCCTAAAGTTGTGCCTTTTGCTATTTGCCGATTTTTGGCATTTTTATTTTTCCCGGTTTCCATGGAAACATTTTGAACTTAGTCTCAAAAAGTAAGGATTGCTTTCGTTTCCGGAGCATAACTCAAGAACCATTCAATATTTTTCAACAAGACTTGGTAGATATATCAAACAGAACCTTAAGTGGTGCCTTTTGCTATTTGCCGATTTTTGGCATTTTTATTTTTCCCGGTTTCCATGGAAACGATTCGGACTTAGTCCCAAAAGTGAGGGGTGGGCTTCGTTTCCAGAGCATAACTCAAGAACCGTTCAATATTTTTCAACAAGACTTGGTAGATATATCAAACAGAACCTTAAGTGGTGCCTTTTGCTATTTGCCGATTTTTGGCATTTTTATTTTTCCCGGTTTCCATGGAAACGATTCAGACTTAGTCCCAAAAGTGAGGGGTGGGCTTCGTTTCCAGAGCACAACTCAAGAACCGTTCAATATTTTTCAACAAGACTTGGTAGATATATCAAACAGAACCTTAAGTGGTGCCTTTTGCTATTTGCAGATTTTTGGCATTTTTATTTTTCCCAGTTTCCATGGAAACGATTCGGACTTAGTCCCAAAAGTGAGGGGTGGGCTTCGTTTCCGGAGCATAACTCAAGAACCGTTCAATATTTTTCAACAAAACTTGGTAGATGTATGAAACAGAACCTTAAGTGGTGCCTTTTGCTATTTGCCGATTTATGGCATTTTTATTTTTCTTGGTTTCCATGGAAACATTTTGGACTTAGTCTCAAAAAGTAAGGATTGCTTTCGTTTCCGGAGCACAACTCAAAAACCGTATAATATTTTTCAACAAAACTTGATAGATATATCAAACAGATCCTAAAGTTGTGCCTTTTGCTATTTGCCGATTTTTGGCATTTTTATTTTTCCCGGTTTCCATGGAAACGATTCGGACTTAATCCCAAAAGTGAGGGGTGGGCTTCGTTTCCAGAGCACAACTCAAGAACCGTTCAATATTTTTCAACAAGACTTGGTAGATATATCAAACAGAACCTTAAGTGGTGCCTTTTGCTATTTGCAGATTTTTGGCATTTTTATTTTTCCCAGTTTCCATGGAAACGATTCGGACTTATTCCCAAAAGTGAGGGGTGGGCTTCGTTTCCGGAGCATAACTCAAGAACCGTTCAACATTTTTCAACAAAACTTGGTAGATGTATGAAACAGAACCTTAAGTGGTGCCTTTTGCTATTTGCAGATTTTTGGCATTTTTATTTTTCCCGGTTTCCATGGAAACGATTCGGACTTAATCCCAAAAGTGAGGGGTGGGCTTCGTTTCCGGAGCACAACTCAAAAACCTCTCTATATCTTTCAGCAAAACTTGGCAGATATGTGAGGCAGATATTGAAGTGATGCCTTTTGCTATTTGGCAGATATTTGTGATTTATTATTTTCTCGGTTTCCATGGAAATGATTCGAACTTAGTCTCAAAAAGGAAGGGATGGGTTTTGTTTCCGGAGCACAACGCGAAAACTTCTTAATATCTTTCAGCAAAACTTGGCAGATATGTGAGGCAGATCCCAAAGTGGTGCCTTTTGCTATTTGCAGATTTTTGTCATTTATTTTTTTCATGATTTCCATGGAAACGATTTGCACTTAGTCTAAAATCAAGCTGGACTTTAAGTAACTGTCAGATGATTTGTTCTTTCAAAGATGTGGGGGCCGGGGGGATATGTCATCTTCTGATGACTCTTGTTTAATTTCATAAAGTTCAGATATAAAGTTCAGAATAGTTCAGAAGTTCCATTTCAGACAAAGTTGTTGAACATATAATACCTATTACTCTAGACGTGTTGGAATTCCGTCTTAAGTTAAGGTCAAGTCAGTATTTAACATTACTATATATTTTAACCAATCCAGAATAGTTTGACTTTTCATGACTTATTTTCGTGAGTAGTATTATAGTGGGGGTACAGGACCACTTCCTCCTATGGGTGTTATTTCCATGTAATTCCACTTCCAACACCCAGTAAAAATGATGATTTTCAAGTGGAGACATCATTCGATATCCCGATAAGCTCGCACTGTGACTATCAGCCGTCCCGACATTGTGATGGTAGAGCGTTGGACTGACAATACTTATAGGAGCCTTAAAATCTGTAGGGCACCATGAGTTTTGGCAACCCCAATGCAATGGAACCAAAAAGTCCAACATTTCGAGATTTTCCATTTAGACATTTGGTGCCCAAGCATGTATACAGCAACCTATTTGTATTTCCAGAAAAATGACAGTCGAAGCAACATACGAAGATACCGTGGGAAGCAATCTTCTACCGGACATTTCCCGTGTAGACAATCTCGATGGAGTAGTATACACAATAGCGGAATGGGACCAGGTGCTTCCAAAAGCTTAATTTGGAAAATTAAGCCTTTGTTAAGTCCCTAATCCTGTTCTGCTATTGTGTATACTACTTGCGGATGTACATGCAAAATGTCAC